AGAGCACAAAAACAATACGCGAACAACAGGAACTGCATCATTGTCTAAATTCATTCATGTTGCTGCTGATCTGTTTCATGTTGCTGCTGATCTGTTTCATGTTGCTGCTGATCTGTTCCATGTTGCTGCTGATCTGTTTCATGTTGCTGCTGATCTGTTCCATGTTGACGTGTTCATGCGTGCTCATCTGCTCACACGGACTCATGCTCATGTTCGTGCTGCTGTTCAACGTAATGTTTTTATGCTATTAGTGCTTAGTGTATATTTAGTTGATGTTTTTCTTAGTTCATATCTTAGATGTTATTACTGTTTTTCTTATACATTTTATTGTGGGATGTAACTGGGACCCTGTGTACATAATTTCGCTCCACCACATGAACCACATGAGGTGGAATGACAGTAAAGAATCTCTGACTCTAAAGTCATCAGGGTCTCTTTCACTATTCACATCAGCAGAAATGCCTCAAGATGCTCCTGTGTCAGTGTGGTCCTCAGTCTGTTCTTCACGAACCTGAGTGTAGAGAAAGTCCTATGATGGTGGAGGTTAAGAGCCCAGAGTGGGGCAAATGAGGGTGGAAGCAGGTGTGTGTGTGTGTGTGATTCACCTTTCCCACCCACATTTTGAGGTTGTCGGTCCAGGGGGTTACTGAGATTACTGTGTATTGTTTTGTTCTGTGTATTTTTCAAATATGTTGACAATTTTAAACGAGTTTAAGGGATTTATTCTCATTTTTTTACTTATTTATTATTATGGGGCAGTACCGTTCACAGAACTGTTTGTCAAGCGGATCTGAACTTGCTGCCAGTGATCCGTACAGGCAGGTCCAAATTTGTGGCGTCAGATTTTCTGCCCTGAGGACACATACGGCTGGTTTTAGCACAATGATATGAGCACTACTAACCCTAGACCTTACAGAGCTGCATAATGTAACGTATTGTATACAACTTGTGTAGTTAGTGATTCAGGAAATTAAAGTCCGCCCCGCTAATACTTTTGCTCTTGAGCCACCATTGTATAATGTGACTTTTACTGATGTCTTTTTGTACTGCAATATCTGACATATAGTTTTTATGATTGTTCCTGATTTGTATTCATGCTGCCATCTTGATCAGGACTCCCTGGAATAAAATATTTTACCTACATCAAAGAAAACCTAAAATGACTGTAAACATCTTTAATTTATCATCAGAAAGAAGGCAGTCCAGTCCAATCGATCTATGCAAGTTCACAGAGCCATTTATTCTCTGTGCTACAATATAAAAGAAAGCAGAACACACCCATGTTACTTTTCTGTTGCAGAGCACTCTTACCCGTCTCCATTTCTGCACAGATCTGTCTTCTCTGGGAACCACTCGGTGTAGGACCGGTCCGTTAGTATGGTGGCACCAGCTGCCATGGCAGGGACTGAAAAATAGGAAGTAGCATTGTGATAAAGACCGATAGAAAGAACCGCAAACAGTTTAGTAGCTGAGACTTTGGTTGTGCTGAAGATGCAAACAGTCCCAGAGAGTGAACACAAATAAGACATGAGCAGGAGCAGTGTTGCTTGGCAAGGTACCTCAGGGGAGAGAAGGAAAGGTGCAAACAGAGCCGCCATGTCAGCAGCTCATGTGTCAGCAAGACTGCAAGGCCTTTAAGAGCAGGTAGTTCTTAAGAAATGTAGATGAAGCTGTTTTGGTCCAACTTTGAAAAGAACATTTCTCGATAACTCGCTTGTTCTGTGAGCACTTATATCTTAGATCCTTATATACTGTTTCTTTTTAGGCCCGAGCAGTGAAGCGCTGCGAAGGCCCACTGTAATTGCTCTGTTCAGGCCCGAGCTGCAATTTTTTTCGTCAAATGAATTGGCGTTTTGGGGGCCTTAACATATCCCAAAAGTCACCAAATTGGGCGGACGCATTAGGACTGGTGAAAAATTACGTATTTTAAGGGCGTGGCAAAAATCTAAACAGAAACGGCTCAAGAGCGCCACCTGAAAATTTTAAAAATACCCTCCACTTTAACCTTTGTTTGTTGTAGAAACATGAAATTTGGTACGGTTGTCCAATTCCCCAAGATGCACAGAAAACCCTCTGGCACCAACGTTAAACGATAAACAGGAAGGCGGCCATTTTGGAATGCCGGACCAATTTTCACACCTTTTTGGCGGTTTACAGACTTGGCAGTTGAACGAACTCCTCGTTGGGATTTCACTCAATCGGTTTCAAACGTGGCCGTTTTGTTCAAAAGGCATGGGGGACGCAAAGGTATCTAAACGGTTTATTTCGGAGCATGCTGAAGGGACGGGGCCAGACCTCAAAGTTTGACATCTCGCCATGAAAAACGAAACGCTAATAGCTCCTACAAGAAAACTGTCTGAAACATCAAACCTTCAGTGATTGATTCAAATCCGGTCCCCTGCAAGACTGAATGGTCAAATCATGAGATCACTTAAGCCACGCCCCCTGACAACAGGAAGTATAAAGTTTTACGTTGAACGATCCCTATCTGACCCCTGTTACCTGATCACCATGACAGTGTGTCCAGTGACCGAAGACATGTTGGTGTAACTTGCTTTCCAACACTGACAGTTTTGGGTGGAGCATGTGGGCGGCGTGGCGAAGTAAGACGTAACGCCGTCGCAATACGTTTGGCTCTAAATTCCAGTTTTGAAACGAGGTGCACCAAAATCAGTGTGATCGATCATTATCCACCCCTTGAACAAGAAGCCATGATAAGTGGCAAATAGCCTCCACAGCGCCCCCTAGAATATTTTAAAACCTGAGTCCCAAGCCATTTTTTGACTGATAATTCTGAAACTCGGTGAACATGTGTATCTTCTCAGGACCTATAAAAAAAGTCTCTTGGAGCCCTGGTCCAAAACCAACAGGAAGTCGGACATTTTGGGTCAAAGGGTCATTTTTGGGCGTTTCTAATTGCGAATTTTAACAAACTCTTCCTAGGAATTTTGAAGGATTGCCTTAAAACTTGGTTGCTATGCCCTTAAGACATTGGAGAGTAAAAGTTATACTAGAAAGTTCCTGAAGAAACTTTGATGGGGACTGCCTATTTTTTATTCAATTATTATTAATAATAAATATTAATCAGTACTTTAGCTCACATTCATACACCAATGGGACACACATCAGAGGCTATGAGGGGTAAAGTATCTTGCCAAGGGACACTTCGACATTTGACTGCTGGTGGATTCGAACCCCCAACTCTCGCATTGGAGGACGACTGCTCCAACCACTCAGCCACAGCCGCCCCCTGTAGACTCACTTCCAAGGTGTAGAATAATAGTTGCCTGTCCCCAATAGGTGCCTTCCATGCATGTTGAACCAAAATGGCTCCTGAAGTTACTCAGTTTCTTTGAAGTTTTCTCCTATTCATTTCCTATGGGAAATTTATCATTTTCGTTAGCAAAATATGTCGCCATGGTAACGTCAATTGCCAATAAAAGTAATAGCACACATCTCGGAGCCGGGCCGGTCGTTTGGATATAACTTTTGTGGGGGTCCACGTTGCGGTTTGGGCCGCATTAAAGTTGAAAAAGATACGCTTTTCAGGTGTAGAATAATAAGTGGGCAGTCACCAACTAGCTCCTGGAGTTGGTGAAATATTGCATCTTTGTTTGCAAATTACTTCGCCATGGTAACTTGAAATGCCAATAAAAGTAATAACACACAACACGGGGCCAAGCCGGTCGTTTTGATATAACTTTTGTGGGGGTAGACATTGTAGTTCGGGCCACATTAACAATAGAAATGTAGACTCACTTCTGAGGTGTAGAATAATAGGTGACTGCCACAGTCCCCAATGAACCCACTTTATGCTGGGCTCCTGTTCACAGATTGAACTTTATTTGCATGGTCCTAAAAAGATGATTGCACTTTTTAAAGCCTATTTTAGATTCATCAGCACTGATGGAGCAGTCTGTTTACAAGTCAACTAGATTTACTTTGCTTTGGTTTCGTTGGTAGGAATGCATCTTTCTCCAACCTGGACGTGACAAAGTTCTCTACCTGTCAGTGGTTTACTGTTCTGTGTTTTATATTACTGTGTGTCAATGATGACATCAATGAAAACTACTGTAATCAGTCAGGAACAGGAGCAGACTGATGGAACAGGAGCAGACTGA